TCAAACCCAATACAAGCACGTGTATTCCAGTGAGAGAATAGTTCAATGGGTCAACGTAGCAAATGGAGGATTTTTGAGGCTGCAGTTAAAGTCGGGTCTAATAATATGATTTATTCAAATAAATATGAAATGTGCAAAGTTTAAGTGCTAGCATTCTATCCACCTGTTAGAATTTGAACAGTTGATTACTTGATTCGCGTGTGTATTATCTTGCAAGAACAATGCAAGAGTCGAGCAACTATAATCCAAATTTGCCCCTTGGGAATATCCCAGTGGTGTAAAGGACGGGAGTGAGGTAATCTCAACCTTATTGGCAGTCACAGTGTGAGGGTTCGATTCCTGACATATGGAATTGGACTTTTTGTGTGTATCAGTGCACGTGCAAACTCTTTTTACCTCGCTTATCGTGGTACATTCCACGATTTACGTCTCTCACGATACTCTAGGATTAAGATGGTGAGGACTTTCAAGGTTGGGGTTCAACCTTTCACAATAATCCAAATTCTGCTTAAAAGGACAAATTATTTGTGAGGGGACCGAGAAACTCTTGCTTTCTACTTTTTGATTCCGTCCAAAATTCACATGGCCCCGATAGTTTGGTTTGTGTAAGTACAGTAACATTATAAAAGGAAAGGAATAATAATTTAAACCTTTTTGGTACCATGTTCGCCTTAATTACAATCCTGTATTAAAAAAAAAAGTTACTTATTTACTTTTTAAGTAGCTTATGAATTTTAGCTTGTGAAAAATTGGAATTGAAATTGCTTCAGGTGCGCATCAGATCGGATGCCTAAAGTTGAATTTGATGACTTTTCTTTATTGGAATTTTAACAGTTAGATAGTCAAACAAGATTGAAGTATATTGTTTTTTAATGCTAATGTTTAAGAGTGTGTTTGAGCATTTTTTGAAAAAATGTATTTTAAAATATTAGATAGATGGAAAATGGGTGGTTGGAAAATAATTTTGATTTACGTGTAATATTATTTTAATGAATAATGTGTGGTTGAAAAGAGGAGAGGGAAAAATGTATTTTGAGAAGAATAGAAATGAAACAAGGCCTAAGATTAAATAAAGAATATTTTATTTTCATTTTTATTCGTAGTTATAAGTTTAAAAGTTTACAAATTTACAATAGAAATTAGCTTAGACTTCGATGATAATCACGAAATTGTTCATCGAATGATTCGTTAGAGGGACGGTTTTGACGAGCTATATATGAATATTGTATTTTACAGAGTGTGCTCAGGTTTGAGTAGACAGACTTGTGTAAACACCTTGGCTAAGCGTGACGTCTGCACGAGTCCTCAAGACGTGACCAAGTGGTTGTCGAGAAAAGCTCGGCAATATTCATTGTGAAGCTCCGCCAAACTTCTTCTCACGGTGGTCAAGTCCACGTTAAGCTCAACTTATGGCCTTTCACTAATGTTGTGATATTGGCGCATATGAGCCACTTTCAATTGTAAGTCACTAATATATCAATTTGGTAAGTATTGAATTACTATTGTTTTGAAAGTATGTTCACCATATAATTTCTTTCATAAAAACTCAATCACGCCAAATATAAATCTAAAATTAACATGTATTTACAATAGAAAAATAATAAAAAATAGACGGTTGGTACTTAATCCAAAGTTTTTCGTGCTAGAGAGAGATTGATACGTGAGATTTCTCTAGAACATTAGGAAAGTTACGTATGTACGTAAACAAGATTGAACGTTGTTGTCTTAAACGGGAAATAATAACGCCCACAAATGAGACCAAGTGGCATCCCACTAATTAAAGCAAAGTTACCCATACATGGACGTGACTTCATTTCATTTTCATTTTGATTTTGACACATCTTTATTTATTTGTGGTACACTTCAATGGAGATGACCGGATAACTCCACTCTTAAAAGTATCATAGCCGGATCCTATCATCTTATATGGAGTACTTATCTTCACACATCCTTATATAAATTTATTTTACTTTTCAATTTATTAATTATAATATCTTCTTATCTTCTATTATAGGTGAGAAGTCATTATTATTGTTTACCTAATATTAATCTTGCACGCACTCATACTTCACTTAGAAAGAAACAATTGAATTCACTCAAATATGGGATTATGAGATTGATTGATCTTCCCCATAATAGTTAAACAGCACTCTAGAAATGAAAATTGTGATATCGTCTTTAAATTAAAATGCATTTATTTTTAATTTTAGGCTTTTTACGATGTTATGTAGTGGTAAGTTGGCATGTCATGTAGTTATGTGAAAGATTCATTGGGTATGAGTATGACTATATATAAAGTAAATTTTCCTCGATTTTAAAACGATGGACGACGAAATGATGAAATTTAAAACTAAAATTGAAGTTGAATGAAGTAATCCAATTGAAATTTTACATAGAATTCATTGATTGAGATGAAATTTGCTCTTAACTTCTATTCGCAACCAAACAAAAAGTACAACTTGAATTAAGTTTGACGTGTATGTAACCCACAAGAAAAAGCAAATAATATTGCATTATCGGGAAGGGATCCCCAACTTGCTTGAGTAATTCACATGCCAAAAGTATCCAAGTTACGCGGGATTGAATGGTTCCCTGTCTGTCTTAGATTTACGAAGAAAATAATGCATGTAACTAAATTTGAATCTATAGATTTTTAGTTTTTGACAGAAATGGATGGATTGGTAAATTCAACGTCCCTAATATCTACATGAACGGGGGCGGAGCCAGATAAGAATTTTATTTTACCTTGGCAAAATTGATTGGAACTGGGGCAAGGTTCGGCTAAAAGCCCATCCCCTCCGCCCTCGTACACAAGCAACCAAATTGTTTATAAACTCAAAGCTTGTATGACAAAGATTTTAAAAAAAATTCAAAAGCTATTTTTAAGATAAGAATTACTTTTGAAAGTTTTTTATATAACTTTCTGAAACATTTTATCTGACTAGAAGAGTTTTTACAGAAAGTTGATCTAAAATAATTTTTTCAGAAAGCTCTTTTACAAAAAGCACCAAAAAAACCCTCAATCGGTTGTATAGCCAATAGCACCTTTCCACGATGTTTCATTTTCAATTTTTATTTTTTGGTTTCTTTATTTAGAATTATCACTACTTAAAAGAAGGTTGCTGTAAAATGCAAGTTGCTACAATCTCAAAATTTCATTCAATGGATAAGTTATGATTATTTGGTCAAAAAGCTGAAAAGACCAATCAAGATTTAAAAAAAAAAAAAGAAAAAAGAAAAAAAAGTAGGAATCTTGTTAGATAACTACAACAATACACACATTCTTCCATTGGAATATACCATTTTTTTTTTTTTTTTATGCTTTAAAGTCCCTACTGTGTATGTCACTGATGATTAAAATCATTTTGATGCGACAAAATGAAAACTGCATCTCAAGCAATTGATTCAAGTACTTATAAAGTCAAATTCAAAGCCCAATTAATTTTGTCATTCAACAAACATGCTTTTGAAATTTATTCCAAGTACTTAACAAGTCGCAAAAAAAATATTACATTCCAGCATATGGTCAAAGTGCGATCATACCCTCAACCAATTTTTCGCCGATTTTCCTTTAACCTTTAAAAAATGGACCTTGCTACATGAACATTGGAGGCTACATAAGAGTGTCCATAATGGACACCCAATGCCGAGGCGCCTGCTGCACAGGGGCCCATGGGCGCCTCGGCCAATGGAGAGGCGCCGGGTGTCCATTATGAAAACCCGGATATAACCCCCAATGTAGAACAAGCATAATCCTTAAAAAATTAGTACATCCAGTCTCCATGCCTTTTCCGTCCAAAAATCTACAGAATTGGTCCTTAAATAAACAACCAAAAAAAAAGACCCAATAAAAGGAAAAAAGAAACAGCCTAAAAAAATAAGCAAAATACCACTTTTTTTTTTTTTTTTTTTTTTTTTTTTTATAAAATTCACAATTTTTATCAACCTTTTAACAATAAATTTCATCAATTTTTTAGTAACTTCTTTATCTTTCTCAAAGAAGCACTAAACAAATTGAAATGACAGAGAGGTCCCATTAGACAAATAAAAATGCAATTGCCAATTTGCCATTAATGTGACGGTCTCCTACCGAGTTAACCCACTGCGTGTTATAGAGTTCACTGTTTCATTTATCATAACGCATTAATGTCAGTGCCAGTCGACATGTAAATGCAATCCAACTGTATTGGACCAAGAACATAAACAAGTTCCCCACCCTACCAACCGGCACCCACTCAATATTTTTTTTTTCTAATTTTTTTAAAATTTGTACACCTCACTAGTGAAGTGTGAAGATAATACTAAAAAAAACTAGTGAAAAAAAAAAAAAAAAAAAAAAAAAAAAAAGCACTCCTCCCACACACTAGAATATTCTATATTAAAGAAGAAACAAATAGAAAGCGTAAAGAGTTTAGAGAACCGAAACCTCACTATTATTCTACAAATTACTTTTCACAAGCATTATGTTTCACCTGTCCTTTTTTCGACCTTTAGGTGTCATAAAGATTAAGTTTCTGATAATAATAGAGGCAAATTTTAAATTTTAGATATGTCCTCAAAATTTTATAGATCAAGACCACACATTCAGACGATGAAATTTAACTTCCAAATGGTCGTTTAGTGATAAAGAAGGTATGGATATAAAAACAATTAAAGATATTCTTAGAAACATTTTCCTTTTGAGGGTGCAATTGCATGATAATTAACTTTGGACATAAGAGATTTTTGGCTTATTTTATTTGTACAGAAAATGGAATCACGGAATCCCACTAAAAATCTTACATGTGTGAATCCCATGTGATGATAAAAAATGTCAAAAATTCTCCACCTCACACCTTATTGTGAGTTATCTGTAATAATTCTAAGAAATGCCTTTCTTTACACACAAGACTCGACATTTTCAGTTATAAAGAAAAGAAGTGCAAAGATACCTTTTATCTTGAGCCTTTACCCTTCAAGACTGACCGGCCCTTAAAAATTTTTTAGGATTAAAGAATAAATAAACAGTATGCAGAGAGTAGATCATTTTTATTATAATTTTATTACACGTTCAAAAGTGTCCACGAATAATACAGACAATATTCTATCGCACATTTTCCCACCAGCTTTCTGCCTCCCCGTATCATTTATCTTGGCGTTCTCTTTGAAGATTTTCGTGTTGCTTCTTAGATGTTCCCGTCGTTGTGTAGCTTAAACCAAGACACCTTTGATTTTTCTTCAGTGGATATTCTTGGAGTTTTTTTTTTTTTTGAAAAGAAGGTCCTTTTTAAGTGATTGTCCTCAAGGGCACTCTCTGATTTTCTCGAGGTTTTTGTAACTAATGGTGTTCTAATGCTTCTGAGTCGGCCTGTGATGGATATTGAAAGTTGGAGCCCTGATAATCCTATCAAGGTGAGACCTTTGGCAGTGAGAATTGTACCAAATATCACTGAATTTTCTTTTCTTTTGTCTGAGTTTTATTTTTGATGCAGAGAGAATCATGGAGTACAGTGTTGACATTGGCTTACCAGAGTTTGGGTGTAGTGTATGGGGATTTAAGCACTTCACCTTTGTTTGTTTTCAGGAGTACTTTTGCAGAGGACATTCAACATTCAGAGTCTAATGAGGAGATTTATGGGGTTTTATCTTTTGTTTTTTGGACATTAACTCTTATTCCATTGCTCAAGTATGTGTTTATAGTGCTTAGAGCTGATGATAATGGTGAAGGTGGGACTTTTGCTTTGTATTCTCTGCTCTGCCGCCATGCCCGGGTGAGTACTTTGCCGAATGGGCAGGTAGCAGACGAGGACTTGTATGAGTATAAAAGGGATGGAATTTCACCGGCTAATCGAGGTCTTGGATTGGGATTGAGCTTAAGATCAACATTGGAGAAGCACAGATTGTTGCAAATAATGTTGCTGGCTTTGGCCTTAATTGGTACTTGTATGGTAATTGGGGATGGAGTTCTTACACCTGCAATTTCTGGTATGGAATGAAAATTTGCTTATTTTT